GGCTGTGAGCCCCGGAGCCCCGGCACCCATGCCCGGTAAGTGCTGCCTGCGGGGGCTCCCCGCTCGCCACCCCGGCACGGCCTGCATGCCCCCCTTCCCCAAATCCCCAGATACAGGCGGCGCTCCAGGGAAACCTGGGCAAGGAAGCAGCTCAGCGCTCTCCTCTGAGCTTAAAACGGCTGTCCATCTGTCCCACCTGCTTTTGGAGCCTGCTAAGGAAACGCCACTCTAACCTGCAGGTCTGTTACTCATCTCTAATTTTTATTCTATGCCCTGAATGCTTTCCCATCATATAACCGGCTGGTTCTGAGAGTCAGAGCAAACAGCCAGTGCAAAGATTTTAATCATTTGGTTTATACTGTACATATATTATAAATCTGGGCATTTATATAGGGATTAAAACTCTGGAGGAAGTACTACCTGGTCATAACTCCAAAAAGTTTACTGTAAAGGTTAAAACAAGTTTATAAAAAAAATCAAAACCTAATCAAAAAGGGATCTAATCCCAAAGCAGACAGAGAAGGTATCCATCAATGCTGCTGTGTGCCAAGATAAACCTAGTACCTACTAATGGTGGGCAGTCCAGCAGCACAGGGCCTTTAGAGATGAAACACTCCAGCAGGTCTTTTCCATCCCCACCTGCCATGATCCTGTATCACAGCTGATTACAATCATCAGTTTCTCATGACGACAGGTAGTTATTTAATAAATACATATTTTCTCCTTAGACACAATGGATTCAACTTATTTCAATGGCCGACTTTCCGACTAATGCCATACCATGCCCTAAGCTATTGGTTCTATTGCTGCTCTATCAGATAAGATGCACTAAAAAGACAATGAGCCAAATTCTCCTTATGCATGACAACACAGGGAGCTTCACTGAAGTGGACAAAACTTCACCCCTTATTTACCACTATATAAAAATAAAAAAGCAGAATTTGACTTAGTGACAGTGGCTGGGTCAGAAATACTTTAGATCACTCTGCAATGAACAAATTCAGTACTGTAAATTCATTAGAGAGAAGGCTGGAAACTCGTTCTCTTACTCCAAAATCTGGACACAGCTGTTGTAACAGGTACTGTATTACAGCACACCTCAGCTTACTGTCATTAATGCTAAAAGGTGACAGACTGGCTACGGGAGTAGAACACAGGACCTCTGCTGAGAGCATTAAAGACTTGGGAATGGAGGACACAAGTGAAACATAGTAAGAGTCCTGGTGAGCTTGCTTCAACTTTTATGGCCCTTGAAACGTTAATTTTCTTTAACATACATATGTCAAAATAGAGACTAAAACCACCAACCAGATAAACGTTTGTACTGCTGATACTATGCCTGTACGAAGGGCATCACTGATTTATATTATGTTCATTGGCAGTAAACTAAAGCATTTTTCTGAGCGTGGCCTACAAAACTGAAAAAGAAGGCACACTTGGAGAATTTCCATGCTCAGGACTGAATTTAAGTTCACATTTCCTCATACTGTACATTCTTACAAAAGGAAACTAGGTTACCAGTTTAGCATAACCAGATTTGTCTCTATATTAACATTAATCCATAACAAATAGGCATTTGTTTCCTGTTCCTCAGAACAATTATTGTCCTAATAGCCTGGCTAACTGCCAAAACGTATTCAGCCCACTTACAGGTTGCAAGGACAGCAAAGTGCCCGTTGCTCCGGAACGGCCAGGAGCAGAGTGGTCTGCGTGTTGTGGTGGGAGACATGACAGACTAGATGACTCATGGGGAAGCTGCCAGGCAATTCCTGCAGAGAACTAAGGCAAGGCATCTGGAGGGGAGCTGCAAAAAAACCTGGCTCCCGTGACTGGACCAGAAACAGGAATATGAGATACGATAGCATAAAGGCCTTTGGGGTACCATGGTCAGGTTAATTTTGGAGCTGCTCAAGCGTTCTGTAGCTGAAGGACATTCCATATGACTGATTGCAACATGGCAACAGTGAAAAGATCAGTAACACATGCATTCGCAGCTTACTTCCTATGCTCCTTACAGTCTTAATCAGTACATTAAATGGCATCAAATTAGTTTTTTGAGCTCTTATTCAAACCTAATAGTGTTGACTGAATATGTTGTGCTTATATTGTCTTTATTTGCTTGTACTGTCACACAGACAGATGACTTGACTGCAAGGCACCTCCCAAGCACAGGCAGAAAAAAGGAAAAAGGAATAAGGCATAATCGCAGTTATGCTTTACCAGATGAGTCATACATATGCTACATGTTATTTTCACATAGACAAACTATTCAGGTTTTTAAGCACTTTTACTCAAGAGTCATCTTGCATAAGGGGAGCACACTGAGGTCTAGAGTATTTCATAATTTTTCAGGTATAGCTAGAACACTTCAAACATTAGAAAAAACTACCCATTTTCAAACTCCAAATTCTGGCTAAACTTATTTCCAGATCTAAATACTATGGTGATATACACATAACATACACATGCTTGAGGCAAGAAAGATATTTTGTTACTGAAAACACTGAAAATCCTCGCACAGAGAAGTGCAAGTTCTTTCAGCAGGGATTTAAAGCAGGAAACAAAGGTTCCCTCAGCCCCCAGTGTCTTCATAGAGTTCAAAGCCTGAAGAAAGAAGTAAAAATAAAAACAGAAATACAAGAGGACTAGTTAGAAAGAAGATTAAAAGGAAAGGCAAGAATGTTTTAGCGAGGCATTGAAAATAGTTGGGAGTTCCCTGCCATAGTGATAAGGGGGAAATTTAACAGCCACAATAACCATTTTTTTCTTACATTGGGAACTCTGCCCAAAAGAAAAACAGCCCATATGTCCCTGGAAAGTAGTTTGTAGTCTCCTTACACCACTGGCTCAGGTCAGAACTCACCTTCCATTCCAAACGTTAAACCCTGAGCCGCAGAGCATTCCACCTAAGCCTTGAAACCCTGGGGTTTGGAAGTGGACAAGCCTGCCCTGTTAGGCTTTCTTCTGGCATTTGAAAGGGAAATGAATCACTGGTGAGAGTCAAGGCTGGAAGCAGATCCAAAGCTGCTTTTCAGCCAGTCTATCCCCTGGAAACAGAGAAGAGGAAAAAGAGTCAGTACCAGTTGTGAGACAGTTCTCGCCCCTGCCATTTCAGAGGAGACCCCGATAACTGAGATGGGGCAGTACGCAGTACTCACCTGATCCTGAGCTGCCCACCCTGACTGCAGGGGGGAGGGGATTCTGCAGTCAGGGTTCTTTTTCAGACAGAGGAGATGCTGTTAGGATCAACTCTCAGCTGAGGTCCACTCATGTCTGGATGCAGTAACAGATAAGTGGCAGGCCAAGATGGGCTGGCTGTAAGGTACAGTACAGAAGTGGTCTCTCCAGCCTTTTACTCTAGCATACTCAGCATAAACAAGCCACAGGACAACAATGAACTGAGCCTATTATCAACTGTCTGCCCTTGGTCTAATGAGAAATTATCTTAGCGGAATTCCTTATATTCATAAGGACTTAAGTCTTCAGTTTTACTGCTATGAAACTACAAAAACAATCAAAATGCAAATTACACAGAATCTGGCTTTACCTGAAATAATCAGGATTCAGGAAATAGTGTTTAGGGGATACTTAAATTTGTCTTTCCAGATCAAAAAAACGTATGCATCCTTAGAAAGGAAAAATTCCCAGAGCTTTGCTTTGTTCTTTGTGCCAGGATCCAGTGTCAGTTCAACATAGATGAATAGGTAGAAATACAAAACAAACAAAATCATGGTACCTTTTATGTTAGCTGCGTCACCGTTTCTTTTTCTTCCCTTATGAGAGTGCCAACACTTCTGCAATGCTAAGGTAAAATATTAGCACAACTGCTTCCCATTCCCCCCTGCCCCGCGTCTCTTGCATTGCAATCATTGTCAGTATCTGAACGCTTTCTAGTCACTCACTGTTGATGTCATACATCTTCAGCTGTTGTGTCATGCTATATCCAAAGACAAAAGCGTGCATGTAGGTAGAATGCTTCATTTAAAAATTCATTTTCATCTCCATTTTAGAGTGTGGGTCAAATAAGTTTGTTAATTTTAGTGTCCTTTTCTCCCCTCAAAACTTACACAACTCTGATCCTGCTATGCTGATTTATTTGCTTCCATGTTTGAACAGAACAAATAGTTGCTGTTGCTGGAGGTGTAGTCGGAGGGATCCTTTTATTTGTTCTTGCTGGAATTACTGCATACCTGCTCTGGAAGAAATTTTGCCTTCTTTCTTCTTATGAAGAGCTCAATGGTCCTGTTACAACGACACCTGCAAAAGCCATTTTGCAGGTTCAGTCATCTTCTGAAACACAACCAAAAAGCACAAGGTGCATAATCCTGTTTTGTTTTTAAAGCACAGGCTATTGGCCACTCATTTCAACTTGTCAAAGCTCAAATGAGGGATAATCTAAATATATGCATGTACAGACATAAACGAGACCAAATTATATAAAAACATCATGTTTTCTTTCATTCTTCAGGAAAATAATACTTTCTGTTACTATGAATGCAATGATTCTTTCTGATTTATGTAATTCAATGGCAAAAGAGATATTGCCATCAAGTGTAATCAGTGCATGGATGGCTTTATGTTACCTAGAAAAATACAGCCCATGGGCCAGTGTCATTCCCAGCAGTCTCAGAATGAAACATTTGAGAACCTAACAATATGATGTCAGCTCTGAAAGGAAGCTCTTAGTTAGTTAGTTACTGGTGGGCTTCGGGGCTCTAAAACAAAAAGTTGCAGTTGATTCTTCTTTTCCTTTGAAAGATTATTTCCAAAGGAGAAGAAACGGAAAAGTGAGGGATCTGTCTGAAGACATAAGATCCGAAATCCCTAGCTGGACCTTTAGGCATTATACAGATAACATCGATTGTAAAACAAAGGGTATTATCTTTTCTACTTAGGCATCTCTACAGCTTTTACAAAAATCAAAGAGATAAGAACAGTAAGCATATTACCCTGTTACCAGGTTTGATTTTCATATTTAACCTAGAAGAGTCAGTAGCTGCTGTTGTTGTTCTGAGCAGATCTAGAAGCGTTCCATTTATAATTCCACCAACACTGCACAGGCGAGACTGGATTAACTTGGTGAATGAAGAACAGGTTCAGGAAGACAGCGATCCCTACGTGATCCCTCAGTCTGGGCCACGGTCATCGTTTCATTCTTTGGGTATGACATTGCAGAAGTGGGACTTTTGGAAGGGGAAATTGAATATTATGAAGCAGGTTTGTTGGGGGCATACCATATATAGCAGTTTACAAGAAAAGGCCCAAACATTACACAGTACATTTTTTTTTTTTTTTTAAACATAAGAATTGGGCAAAAACGTAGCCGCTCTTTCCACTGCTGTGGAAACTTGCACACAGGGCACAAAGCAGTCTCTCACTCTATGTTTCTGTAAAGGAACAACACGGGGTAGTCATGAGGTGTCCCATTGTTGCCCCCAGATACAGCAGAGAGCCTAGTTGCAGATAAGGTTGTTTATTGCAACAACAAATATCCAGAACTATCAAGGTACAGTCACAGGAATAAGAGAAAGAAAAGAGAAGGGGGGTAGCCTACAACTACTCCCCCACACTTCAGGGGAAAGGAGTTCAAATCCTGAGTTTATACAAAGATAGATTGTTAATAAAGAGATTAACATGGTTTTCCTAATACAGCAGTGGTTATAAAAATGCCTGCTAGTCTTGAGACTAACCTGCCGATGCTTGTTTTTTGTTTTATGAAGCTGGAGCTTACATTGTAGGGACCATTAACCCAGAACTGTACAAGTTTCCTGAAGACAAAAGTGAGACAGATTTTCCTGAAGGCAGCATTGGCCGTCTCTGGTTCTCCATGGAGTATGAGCAAGAGTCAGAAAAGCTCTTTGTTTCCTTGATTAAAGTCAGAAAGCTGCAGCCTCCTGCCGATTCCTGCAGTCCGTTTGTGAAAATCTACTTGCTGCCTGATGAAAGACGGTACCTGCAGTCCAAAACAAAACGCAAAACCCTTAACCCACAGTTTGATGAAAACTTTGTTTTTCAGGTACTTACTTTTTCAGGTACTTACCTTTTACCAGATTTTTGTTTGCAAATATTGACTTATCAAAGCAAAGTGCACGTTTTGTGAAAATGAGTGATTTTCTACAAACTTCTACCAAAATACAAGTGGTTTTCACTGGAGGTAAGACTTATTACTGGACCTTTTGGAGATCCTGGGCTACGTAAGTCTGCAGCTTCAGGACTGATTTTACATGTGGACTGCACCAAAGATTCCAGACCTTGCTGTCCTGGGAAGAATGTAAACTTGAGTTTGAACTAGAGCTTTGCAGCTGGCAGGCCAGTGCTCTACAAGTCCAGGAGCAACCCAGCTGAACTAAGGCTTTCATAGCTTTTAGGTTCTTTGCTGTGGAAGCAAGCCAGAAACTAGTATGTACTGTGTAAGACATTCAAAATGTAATGTATATTTGCATAGTGCTGTGAAGCTAGGAGCCCATGTTCAAGGGCTTCACAGAAAGGCTTATGGTCTCACAAGACTCAAGCTTTAAAATCAAAGAAGTGAGTTTCAAACAACTGAAAAACGAGTATTTACAGAGTTCTACATTTTTGTGTCTAGAAATGAAAGCACCATATAATACCAGATCTATATAGCTTGAAAAACTGCCAGCTAACTTCACATTTTCTGAACGAGCTAATTCTATTTTAGCTTGGATCTTTCAATTCCTGAATAGCTAAAACTTTAGGCAGATTAAGCAACTGGACTTTAAATAATCAAAGGAAATCCCCATGTACTTCTAACACACTGAGATATTTGTTTGAAGTCATGCCAGAGTAAACTCAGATACATTTACATTTATTAACATATTCTTCTTCTTCCTGTACAGGTTTCCAGTAAAATGTTGTTCCAAAGTACTCTGAAGTTTTTGGTTTATCATGTTGATAAGCAGAAGAAGCACCACCTCCTAGGCCAAGTTACCTTTCCATTGAAAAATGAAACATTAACTGCTGACAGCAAATTAGTCGTATGGAGAGACCTGGAGAAAGAATACTTGGAGGTAGGCACACACCAGTCTGCTTGGCACTGAACTTCTCTCTCTCATCTTACAAGTATTGGAAGGATACAGATGAGGTAGAAGAATATTGTGTCAAGTACTGTACCAAATGCAAAAGCATTTGATAAACATTTGGTATCAGTGTTCCCATGTTACCAACTCGCAACTCCATAGGTCTTGGTATAACCATTATCAATCCAATGGCTATGAAACAGTTACATGAGTTAAAAGGAGACAGTTAGGAGAGAACACCTCTTGTTTGCTTCTGTTTGGAATTAATAAGAGTAGAAAAAAGCACAAGATGAGAGGAAATAGGCATCACTTGGAAGAGATGGGAATTCAAAAGTTCAGGAAGGCTGAAAGAGGCTTCTTATGCATACTTGTCTGAAGTAAGAAATAATGCTACTGTAGCAGGACAGCAGGGTTTGACTACCACTAGACATAAAGCCAGAAAGAGAGATAAATCTGACTATTAGCAAGTAAAGAAGTAACTCAGATGCCCAGCAGAAGGAAGAAGGGAATGGCTGTCTGCATCACTGTTTTGGGTCATCCACATAGCATGCTGTGGAGAGGTATCAGGTAAAACTGAGACCCTGACTGAAAAGATTTACCTTTTTTGCTTAACTAAATATATCTATCCCTGTAAATAAAAACAAGGAGGGAGCAAGTGAGAATATCCTGCAAATAAGTATCTAACAACAGTATTTTCAATTGTTTCTATCAAACGTTACAATAGCGTAGATAAAGCCATTCCAATTCATTAATGCACCTTGGTGCAGCAGAAAACACTGGTGTGAAGCAGCATGGATTTTCCCCCCCCCCCCCCAAAAAAAAAGCGCCGGCGTGTGTCCCCCCCCCCCCCCCCCAAATTTGTCTAAGGAGAGAGGTTTTCAGATTTGACTAGTGCTCTTCTGCTCCCAAAGCCTCCTTCAGAGTTTGGTGATATCCAGTTCTCCCTCAGCTACAATGACTACCTGGGCCGTCTCACTGTAGTGGTTCTGAGAGCAAAAGGATTAAAGCTCCAGGATGAGAGCCATGCTGCCAGTAAGTGCAACCTTCCTCTCTGCTATCAGCTCCAGAATTCCTGTTCTAATTTGCTCCTTCCTCATCTGTCCGCCCAAGCTTGCACTGAGTGAATCGCAATAGAACAAATAACCATCAGGGTGTTTTAATTTGTGTGGAAACAAAGCATAACTTTGTTACTAGGATAATGAAATTTTGGTAGCTCAGTTCTGCTCTGCTTTGGTTTCACATCACAATAAATGGTTTGTCCCACATCTTCAGTAACAGTTTTTTTCCCTGATCTCTCAGTGCTTTTATGCAGCAAGCAACATTCTTTCACTGCACTCCAATCCAAAGGTGGCATTTCAGGCAATAGCTACATTAACAGAGTTGCCCCAAGGCAAAAAGTTTTGAGGCAAAAGCCCAGAGGTATCTACTGCAGGACAACTGCTCACACTTAACAGCTGTCCCGGGGGGGGGAATTGAACTGGGAGAAAACCCCCAGCTTAGGACAGCCTGACCTCAGTTCAGGGGACCACAGGATGGAGTCTCAATTTTTCTCCCTCAGAGATGTTCCGTATAGGGACTACCTTAAAATATTGTTTATCTACACACTCAAACATCACAGGTAGCAAAAACAGATGGAAGAACTAAGCTTCAATGTGTCTGCATCTTTAGTGATTTTCTGAAGGACTCTAAAACTAAAGAATATAAACGCAAAATATTCCCAGCAGTATCTACATACATAGAGATCAATGTGCTCTGTTTAGGGCAGAACTGATAAAAGCCAACTCGCACAGTAAAGACGATGAGAATATATAGCTTTCCAATTAGCACAATCATACCTTACTCACCATGTGCTTGTTGTAGGAAACAATGGACAACCAAAAACAAATCAGGTATTAGTCTTAGAAAACAAATAGGTAAGATTAGGACAGCCAGAAAAAAATATGACTAGTTCATGGAAGATGAATGGCAAAATAACATTATGATCTAAAAGCAAAAGCTCCTAATTTTGCATCATGTCCATAAATTTACAGGAGAGGGAGAATACCTCTTAATACAACTTGTCTCTGCCTGATGGTTCAGTTTTGAAGTTCTTCAGCACCAACAGCCAGAATTCTCTTTGTTTCTTTCCAAAGATCGAACGTTAATCTTCCACGTTAATGTAATGCCAGTATATTGTAGGTTATTCTAATAAGCAGAAGTCATGGGCACTCTCTGGAAGGAGGAGCTGTCACAAGGTGATTCTCCAGGACAGATTACTAGAGATAAATATAAATGAAGATTAAATGCATTAGGTGTTATTTCATTTGATAACACCTTTCAAGTATGACTTAGCGACCACAGATGCTGTGGTAAATCCCAAACAAAAACTGGAATAAGAAGTTTCCTAGATACAGGGCTCTTTTCTAATATGACACTTTAACTCTGATAGAAGATACACAGTATAGGACAGTGAGGAGATATTTTTATATTAAAATTAGTGAGTTAAATATATTAAGTAATAAGGAAGCAAGTAACAAATAACTCAAAATCAGATTTTATACAAGCAGTTTACATAGTAACCCAGAAATAGTGCCCAGGTAACACAGTCCTGACAGAAAGAGCACCTATTCCGGTAAGTCTGCAACCTCTCAAACAGTAATGAGAGCCTACTGGATCTGTGGAAATAACAAAGTGACATTAGGATCTTGCCAGTGCTGGATCTGTCCTGACACTTCAAATCTTTTTTGCTGTACAAATGAACTTTAATGAACTGAATAAGAGGGAGTAATAAACACAGTAGCAGCAGAGAATCCCTTACTGCTTCACTGGAAAAGAACAAATCTTTAGCTAGTGATTAGGTTGAAATTTCTTTACACTTGTCACTAAATTTTGTGGAGGAGGAAGAAAGAATGGAAAATTTCAGGCTACTCTAGGTCTCAAAGATCTATTGAATAACACCACAATGTAGTATTGGTCACCTTACCTACAGGAAGCAAAGCAAGACTTTGTTGTTGTTGTTGTTCTTCCCCCCATTTCTTCCCCTCACCATTTTCATAATATTTTATAGAAGAAAAAGAGCAGACCATTTAAAACAGTTCTTCCACATCTTTTTCCTCTACTTCTCCATAAAATTCCTTACCAGCACAGCAGCAAAGTTCTGTAACAGCAATTGGTAAAACCTTTTGTTTAAGGATTGTTTGAATAGCAGAATGCTGTTCCCTGAAGAGATTCAGTTTTATCAGAAACTTATCTGATCAAAGTGCAGGCTGTAGCTGTAAAGAGGTGGTCCACCCCTCACAGCCTCCCTTGTGTTGAATCAAATGATGGTGCGATCAAATATATGAAATTAATACTGATCCAACAAACTGTCTTCAAAAAAATATCTCCATCAGATGGAAGGGAAGACACACAAATATGTGATCAAGGATGCAGGGTAAGACTGCTTCTTTCAACTGCTCTTAAACTGGGAGAAGTGCACTGCAGCTTTAAGTACTTTGTGTACTCCCTACTTCCTGTTAGGCATTGTCTTTATGCCTTATGCTTCATGAATCCTTCATGATCTAATGGTATACCTACTACTGACTCTTAAAAGTCTGAAATTGCCTTCAGCCTTTCCTCCCAAGTGCCTGTGATGTATTTTTTTTTCAAATTTTTTTTTTTTTAAATCCGAGGTGTATATGTCAAAGTTTCACTAATGAACCATAATAAATTCATCAAAAGTAAAAAGACAGCAGCTGTTCTGGGATCCCTCAATCCAGTGTATAATGAAACCTTCAGCTTCAAAGCAGATGAGACAGAGCTGGATACAACAAGCCTGAGTCTATCTGTGTTCCAGAACATGGAGGGAGACAGTAAGATATATAAATTATTACATTTAAGATGTCATAAGTCTCTTACATATTGTGGTGATATTTTAAACCCAAGAGAAACTCATTCCTTTTCAGCAATAATCATAAAAATTTCAAAGAGGTTTGGGGGTATTTTACAGACTTTCTTTACAAACTAGAATAACTTCTTTGCAGTAAGTGTATGTCCGTCTTTCAAAGGCTAAAGATTAATTAAACATAAGACAGGACTATGTAGACTAGTCATTGTCCATACATATGAGCAGCTGTATTTTTGTTTTATTTTGCTATCCTAAAGAAACAAGCCTATGCAATTATGTTCTGTGGACACTTCTGTGTATAGCCCACAACCCATAAATTTTGAAGCCATTCACCATTCTTAATTAAAACTTCTGTTCCTCTTTTCAAATTTGATTGTCATAATAGTTCAAGTGATGAGATGGACAAAAGAAACATTACAGACATTGCCTTTCCGTGGCAGAAAACCTGATGCTTGAAGTCACTTGTTACTAATTGCTGGAAACCCCATTAAGGAGGTCTCCTCTGAGAGCAGATCAGAATTCAACGTTTCCGCTGGTCACAAGGCAAACATCTCTTCCTGCAGTGCAAATATGATCTCAATAATGAAACATTAATACCCTCCTTTGGATTCACCCACAAATTTCTTTTAGATGAGATTTCAGGTAGGTTTTTGGCTTTGAGGCTTGACAAGGACTTGTACTAAGATCAAAAATTAAATCTTTCACCATTTGCACTTGCAGACAACCAAATGCTTTACATTCTGAAGTTCCTGTAAGGCAGGTTCTAAATTATTTTCCTCATTTGCAGCTGAAAAGTTCAGGCATAAAGAAATAATCTACTCATTGGCAGAGGGTGGTCAGTGTTAGAGCATGAAACAGACCCCACATCTCATGACTCCCAGCTGATGCTCCAGTAACTAAATGTATTCTTTCCCAAGCTAGAGCATCATCTGAATCCTACCAAGGTTGCTGGTGCCCAAAACTAGGGCACAGCTCCACAATAAACTTGAAGTACAGGGTCTGCGCAGATAACGATCTGTTTGCCTTTAACTGATTCTCATTTAGAGCACAGGCAACAGAAATAAGCCTGAACTGACTAAATACTCGCTTACTCAGTACCTTTTAATGCAGAATCTTAACGTGGAGATACTAGGGGAACTTGAGATCTGCAGCAAATTCCTTGATGATAACTTTGGTTTGAAAATAACTTCACAAAAGTGCATCTCAGAAATAAAGGTTAATATTCTAACTTTAAGTGAGGATTCAAAAGGAGCACTCACAGATGCTGATCGCTAACCGCTTTCTTTTTTCCCCACAGAAACACACCTGCTGGGGCGTGTAATAGTTGGGCCCTTTATGTACACTCGGGGCAAAGAACTAGAACACTGGAATGAGATGATCAGCAAGCCCAAGGAGTTGGTTAAACGATGGCATGCTCTCTGCCACAGCAGTTAATTAAGCAGCATCATTCTGAGGGAAAAACAAAAACCCCAACAACGCATCCTCAAAAAGCAGAAGCTCTCGTTGTCTTTCATAACTTAATGATAAATGGTGCAAAACCATGACCGTTTAATGCTCCCAACTGGACCAGAATATAACAAGAAGGTAACACTTTTCCTTTCCCAAACACAAACAGAAGACAGTCGCTGGTAGGCCGGAACACTTATCTTCCCTTTCTCTTCAAACTATTTTTCCAGTTTAATTAGTACATTACAGAGCAAACAAAGCAGGAAGACATAAACATGATCTCTCAGCGTTATTTATTTTCAACAGTGGACACAAATGATGCTCCATCATTTGGCTGGAACCCAAAATAACCTAATAATTGTCAATTATGATTTAAGCCCTAACTGCCCACTGCACTGCATCACCATGGACAGACACTGGCTTCACCAAAACGGATGGAGGTCCACTGAGCATGGAACTGTCAAAACACTGTCAAAGTCCAAAATATGTTGGCTGATGGCTAAATATTTACAATGTCTATTTAGAATAACAGCATTACATTTAAAACCTCTTTTGAATATGAATGGTGGAAAACACTGAATGGCTATTTTTCTAACACCTATAAGCACCTGTTCATGCCCCTCAGCACAGCTTATTTTTTGCAGTAATTCAGTTAGATGTTCTCGGATGACCCCAACACATAACACTTAGTTGACACTGAGGGAGAAACAGAAAAGAAGTCCTTAAGTCAGAAATGACTCGAGGCTTGCAGGAGTATTGGAGCACTCAGGAAAAGTGCTACTAGGTGCCTGCCCTCCCCTTATACTTTTCCCCAAAAACATGTTTTTGGCCTCTGCTGGAGGCAGAACATGGGTGACAAGGACCTTAGGTTTCACCTGCTATGCCCACTCTTACATGGAAAATCTGATCAATTAGCTTAAACCCCTATGGCATAAATCTGTTTCAGCAGCAGAGTTTTCTTTATTAAGTAAATAACTTTTCTGTAAAATAATTCAGAGAAATTATCATTAATCAAAATAAAAGAAATAGGGCATCCTTTTCTTCTTGACTTGATTGTTCACTGGGGACCTGAACTCTGTACCTTTCGCACCCTGCAGTCATAAACCAGATAAACAGACTATTGCAGTGGAACATTTTGTACAATCATGTTCCAAAAGGACCATAATCTCTGCAGTTGAAATAAAGCTGACTTCCTTTCAAACAGGATACAATATTAATTAACTCAATATATTAAAAATGAGGCTTCTCTGAGGAGATAAGAACACTTTCCATTTTGACAATATTGTTATTTTCAAAGGAAATACTGTGTATGAGAATATATCTGAGAGGGACTATAAGATAACAGACTCCACCTGATCCCCTACATGAGATGTTGTATGGTACCCTCATTTTGTATTGCTTACTGCACCACTGAGTTTAATAAAGTCCAGGCTCACTACATTTAGTTGAATCTTACAAAATGCTCAAACCCCATTGGTATCTTCTCCAAACAAAGAATGCCAGCGTCTTCAAACCCAGAGTTGCTTTTTCATATTTCACTCGTCCAGGACTACTGGAAAAACAGTCTAATAGGCAACGTATCTGATCTGGAAAAGAAAACTATATATAAACCGTATGCTCGCTGTTTTACTATGATAAAGCAATTTTAGCAAATACACTGCCTCTGTCTTTATAATTTAAACCATATCAACAAACATTAAAGAACTTAAAAGTGAATTGTTAAGAATGCTTCAGGTAGTTTTGTTTACTAGCTTGTGCACGCAGATGCATGTAATGCGCAGTGTTTATTAACATAAATACCTCTGAAGTGGGGAAAAAAGGGGCTTTGTTCACTTGTCTGACTGTACAACATACTCCAAGTAGTAAAATAATGCATTGTACCAGTGTGGTCTCTTTTCTTTATGCTTCTTACAAAGTACCAAGTACTTAGGTTTGCATGTTCAATAATTACAACTAAATTCATGGAGAAACATTTAACAATGGAGAAGCATTTAAATGCACTTACCAATGTATTTGATGTTGCTCAAGGTTATCAAAGTAACATAAGTGAAAAAGGTCCTTTTTGATTCTTCGTGAAGAACAGAGCTATTCCAGTAAAGATAGAGATGTGATTAAATAGGGAACATTAACAGTGATATCAATTGTCATATACACAATGAAGCAATTTTTTACCTACTACTTTTTACATATCATCCACTTTTCATGCTTGAGACTTGCAGTGAGATGAAGGAGGAAGAATGATTACAAGACCTATCGGTGCTTAACTACTGGTGTTTCTTGTCTTCTGAAAAATGTTTAAGGTAGTAATAGTTACCATTTGAGTTAAACGCATAGCACAGAAAAATCCCAAGCCAAGAAGTACACAAGACAGACATAAAACCATAAAAAATGTGGCACCAATACTTCCCATTACTATGATAAACATGAGGTTGTTGTTTTTTTTTAAGTTATGCAATAAACCTAGCATTTGCTCAATAAAAATACAACCCCTTCAAGTGCAGTGAGCAGCAATTGATCAGTGTTTTAGAACAGTTATTAGGAGTTGCATTCTTGTCTTAGAGAACAGGAATTTAGAGAAGATTTCCTGCCACTACTGAAGCAGAGAAGTTATCTGAATCTATTCCTTTGTGCATCATTCTCTTCTGTACCTTCTCTCCCCATTAAAATTATACTGGCACTAGTCCTTTAAGAGGTCTAATGATCTGTCACCTGCACTACTCTGTCTGTCCTTCCTCTAAGTGAGGAAATGAGTGACTGGATTATTTAGAGATTATCTCCCCTTAAAATAACAGTACATTATAAATGCAGCAGCTTGATGAAACTGAAAGGGAGGAAGAAGCCTTACATGGGATGAAGGGTCAGAAAGCTTCTGAGGAGGAAATTTCCATACCAGATGGAGGAAAGATAGTGCAACAGCTTTCTTTTTGGAAGGCAAGGAGAAAATTCTGAAGTGGTAAACACAAGGCAGCAGGACCTAGAAATTTCATGGAGAATTACCAAAGTGCAGAAATCAACCGAGAAGCTGTAGAATTACAGTAAATTGATCGAAGTTAACATTGAACTACGATGTTATGTTTGTAATTTGGATTTCAAGAAGGAATACTGTCTATTCCTATCTGAAAGGTCAGAAGAGAATGAATCAGTCAGGTTCACGTCAGCTGGAGAGACCTAACCAGAGGATGCAGAACTCAGCATTTAGCCATGCAGAGCTCCAATCTACATAGCGCGACTTTGTCCTGACCTTGTCAAATCATCCTAATGAGACCACACATTGACAGAACACCAAACAACCTAGGATTTCTCTAACATAATCGATGCCTGGTTTTCAAGAGTCTTAAACACAAAGAAGTCCTGAAATGCTTTAACTCGCACTGGATCACCGTCAATGATACCATCTCATTTAAACAGATCTGAACCTTAACCTTGCTCTTCCTCTCAACATTGCTTTCCCTAGCAGTAAGCGAATCACAGAATGAGACGTTCCCGAGTAAAGTGTAGATAGAATGAGGTATAAAAGACATAGGTCCTTGAGACTCTCCCCAAGATGATGGATTAGGACCACATCATCCTGATTTTGCCAAGTTATATGAAACTAAACAAGACGAAAAACTGCTTCAGCATTGAACAGTGAGATAAAAATCCAACCATTGTAACTCTTGAACTCTGCCTATATAAAGCTGAGATTTTCTACATTATTGTTAGCACAACCGGTCAACAGTAGCAAAAGTAATTGTTAATTCTTGATCACTAGATGAGGACGTTACAGCTGCGCCTCTTTTGTGACATGTTCCTCTTTCACCATAGGCTTGGCACTGTGGAGATTATGATTCCTGTACAGAGGCTCTGCAGTATTTCTCTTCAGAAGAGGCCATTGAGTTTCTTCCGGAGCTTTGGTCTTGGCGTTTGCAATAGCCCTTTGTCAGCATCTCACTTGCACATCAGTGGTGCTAGCGTTGAGCTTAGTTTCTGTCATCACTGTGCTGTCCTTCTTGTGCTGCTCTTGTGTATCTTGGCACAGCAGGAAATGAATCTTGTTGGCATAAGCTCAGCATTCCTATGTTCACTTCCTCAGGAAGTGACAACACTGTCAGAGATGATTCCAAAAGACGGTAGTCCTGGTCTTGTTATCATGAGAAATGAGTAACATTCTAGCAGAGATGGACAATAACCCTTGGGAATTACCACAAAACAGGTGGGGCTTAAATCAGAACATCAAGTTTGCCATGAGAAGTAAACCTGCACAAAATGGTCTCATCAGTAGAATCTGTCCAAATAAACTGATCAGTACACAAGTAGTTAAATACAGCAATAACAAGATAAGTGATGTTGTAAGTGATGTTGTGAGACTCTAGATGGGTTTGAAGAAATTTGTTCTCAGCTAACCACCCACCAGTATTTCTGGAGGATTCTCTTTCTGCCAGACTGATAAGAAACATCATTATCATCTTCTCCTTTATTGATATACAAGCAAACACACAGCTTGCACATGGCTGTAATCAACATTATTAAAAAAAAAAATCAGCAATCCCAAATTAGTTTCACACACATCAGATGCAACAGCACACACACAATCCAAACTAACACCAGAAAACACCATTTCTCAATTGTAAGTAGAAACTTCCAAGAGACCACGCTTAAAGGCACTCTAACCTTAGTTAAATTTGTATCACTATTACTAGCATTCAATTACATTTGACAATTTGATTTATTATCAAATTCAATTTTTAGAACAGTTCTGTGTTCAAAGCCTGTGGATAGCAAGAAATCCTGTATGTGGAAACAGATTCCTAACTGAGAACAAGGAAGGACAAGGACCTGCAAAGATCTAGCTGGAGAATGCATTAAGTATTATTCATACTCGACAGCATCTACCAGCCTCAGCGAGCGGCACAGTTTATATTAGAGAAAAATACTGATCACTATCAACATCCCAACTATTTTTGCAGAATAACAGTTATAAGTCAGTCTGTTGCTTTACGAAGTCAGGTACAGTCATCATTTACTCAGTCTTTTACTGATAAAAATCCCTATCAGAATAAACCAAGGCTTTAAGAATTACATTCATTCCTAAATCAGATTAAGGCAGAACAAAGTTTTATAGACCAGTGTTAAACTGATATTAAATTGGCTTCAGGTGTATTGGCCAGCTTATGCTTTAATAACACATACAACAACTCAATGATTTAAGGGGTCCATGAAAGAATGTATTGATTTAATTAAAAGAGGTTTTAAGTAGATTAGCTAAATCGGTGTGACAACTTCTAGCTAAACAAAATTAGTTTCTCAATGAAATAGAGCTATTTTACAAGAGAAGACAGCAACAGCAAAATCACTGGAGAAAAATAACAAAAATTCTGCTGTTCAAACAAGAAAAGCAACCACAACAGGAGAGCAAGTTCAAAGAAATTCCCAAGTTAGGGAGAAGACGCAGCATAAGACAAACATAGAAGGAAATCTTAGAACTAAAATGATACCACAGAATTGCAACTATCTCCCTCCAATCTGCCATATCCACGAGAGTTCACAGTCTCTCAACACTAGAGAGCTGCCCCTGGAGAGAAGAGCCAAAGTGAGATATCAGTAAGAGGTTTTTATTAAGATAAAATCATATGTATAAAAATATATTTTGTGATAATTAATCAGTAGTACAGTAGCAGTACATACAATTAGCAGACATTCCATACCAGTCCCTTTGGTTTTTGAATAAATTAAATATAAAATTCTTTCTTGTATTTTGATTTGCTTCCTTGAGCTAATTCATTTTCCTTTTCCTATTTGCAATCTGCTTGTTCATACAGTCTGTTAACCAGTTATTGCAGAGGTCAATGCTTCAGAGATCAGGATGAAAATTCAGCAGATGGAAATCCTTTTGCAAAGGACAGCTGTTTTCATCTAGCACAAAACGGCTCCTAATTTCCAACAAATAGGATGCTTCTGTATCTGCTAGCAGCGAATGACACAGATCTGCTACTATTATGCTGTAGGTTACACCTGAGGAGGGCACTGCAAAAGACAGAACAATCCAATTCACCTTATGTTCATAATGGCACCTAATATGCAAGTTCTACCCCCAGGAAAGCTACACTTAATTACCAGAAATGTAGCTCAGCATATGAATAGAAAATTAGCTTTTGTTTGTAATCACTTTTTTTTTTCCAAATAATTTAAAACTGCTTTTCATTAAACCATAACACCTGTGAATCATGTGCACCTCTCAACAAGTCACACTCAGGATGCATCAGAGGAGTCTGCCTGAAACACCGTTCAGTTATTTACTTAACAAAAGCACAGCGGCTATTTCTAAAAAATTGGTAAGGGATTCTATTTTGCATACAGGGAATCCCATTTCGTAACTGAACATTTAGTTGTATTTAGTAATAAATGTTTGTACCATCTTATCTTTTACTCCTTACTACCTCAACTTTGAGCTTCCAGCTTCTCCCATATTTGTCTCAAGGCAACTGAAATGTTTTCTTAAAAGTTTTAAGTCCAGAAGTCACTTTAACGCTGAATATATATTTTATATAATATGAGCAGTCATCTTACCTGTCTGGAATGACAATTTCATCCTGATTCTAACATATTGTCAGTAATTAAAAAATTAGTTTTCATTGTGAACTTTGCAGCTCTTGATGGTTCTACAAGAAAAAATTCATGGAACAGTACCTACTAATCTGTTCAGCCAGTCTGCAGGTATATTGAGGAAGATTTTTTCCATCAACTCAGACACCACGTGAACATAGATTTCATATCCTCCATCTTCGACTGTCATCAAAGCAGGTCTGGATCAGAAAGCAAAAGGCTGTTGAAAGATAACCTATTTTTCTGATTGACGCAACATTTCTGATGAAAGTAATTCAATGCAATAATTACCCTTCAAATTAATACCAATAACTAGAAAATATCTACTCTCATCTTCACTCAACCTATAGAGTCAGAATATCATTTGAATACATCCAAATTCACAACACAATGTTAAAATAGCCTCTACAGTTAACAGCAAGCCTTATTTTCTGACAACTGCAAAAAACAGTGCTTATGTAATATCTGCTCTTTTTCCAAGAGAGAACTGCACCAGGCAAGATTTTTAAATCCTTAGAGCACGAATATTAGTTAATATGACTTGAAGGTGGACATGTGATGCTTCTCCTGAAGCCCAGAGTCCACGCATTGAGGTTAAAGTTATTTAAAATAGACTGAAGGTAGTGTAGGTTTTTTTTGGTTGGTTGGTTTTTTGTTTTTTTTGTTTTTTTTTTTTGCCAAAGAGAAAAATAATCCTTCCTCATTTAAGAAACAATTTTCTCAGGTCAGCTATTATATGTACCAAAAAGTCATATTAACAGTGGGAAAGCCTTTTCTTATCAATCAACTCAGGGAACACTCTACAATCTTTTGTAATTCAATCCTTTGTTTTGATAATATATTCACAACGGGTGAAAAACTAAAACACACAAAACCCTTACTAAAACAGGGAGAAATTTACCTAACAGTAACACTTGGCCTGATGTGCATAAAAAGAAAGGACAGCTGTCTTCATATACAATGACAAAAACAATACTAACTAGTTTTCTGAAGACTTTAAAAGAGGGAGTAACTTCACTGGAGTGTGAAATCCTAAGTTATCCAAAGTCAGGTACAAGCGAAGTATGCATGTGTATGTAGATATATGTATATATACACACACGCGCAAGTTTTCACTATGCATGCTATGTGATTTAGAATTAAGTTAAAGGTAAATACATCCAAGTACTTAAAGTTACAGCATTTTATCAGTCAAGGACATTTCTTGTTTCTGACTTCATACACTGAGTCAATGCACCCTAATCTGTCTACTCTGTATGAAAGCAACTAAAACTAGCAGAATCTCTTGGTAGCTTAGCAATCACTGCATCTCCCCTCTGATACTTCCAATCAGTAATAATAAGCATCAAAGCAAATATTTTTTTAAAAGCATTTTCATTTCAGGAAAATGTAAAAAAAAAATGAAAAAACACAACACTGGATTCTACTCAGCTCATAGTTTTATTGGTTCTGGATATCACCAATATTGAAGAACGCAAACTCTTAATTACTTTAATGATTTACAACAAGCCAGTATAGTATTTGAAAGAAGGTTTTAAGCATGTCTAAATGGTAATCCTTAATAACAGATCCAACAAAACATTATATGACAATCTTGCATACCGAGTTTGTATGAACATTTAAGAATAGGCACAGGAAATCGTTTTTTGTTTCTCTAATATTTATTTGTAGTGTATATTTAATTCTGTCACATCATGTCCTGCATCATAGCTGATAAAAGTCAGAAGTTACATAAATCTCACTGCTGTTAGCAACACTGATTTTTGGGAAAACCAATAAAATTAATCTTGGGAGACAATTTGTTCACAAACACTACAACTCCTTCATCACCCTAATAAAAACCTATTTGGAAATTGAAGCTTTAAGACTACCTATGAAGAGGCAATTGCTAACTGTGCTGTGTTCCCAGTGAACATCAACAACAGACAAAGTAAAAAATGAAGGCATTACTGCAGGATCCATTTAAAGAATGAGAACCAAATAATTAATCTGTAGTTATACCTGTTGCCATCAGCAATTACCAATACACACAGTGCTAAGAAAGAATGATACTAGTTTACCACTATATGCATTATAAGTATGAATATAAACATGTAAGCAAGTATATGTATATGTAAGTGTATAAAATTATAAATTTAAATCTACAAATATTCAGGGGCATGTAAATAATAAAAACAGGAAAGATATTTGAAACAAAGTAGGGAGATAAAAGCTCTAGTGTATCACTTGGAATGATGTCACTTGTGTCAACATAACCTAGAATTATTTGTATTAATACAGCACTTCACAGCCACTACGTAATATCAAAATAACATCTTCTATACTACGATATAAAACAAATGGTGTCACATACTGCTAAACAAGTGAAAAAGCCTCTTACTTTATTGGAAAACATTTTATATTGCAGGATATGGTCAAAAGTGTTCCTATTAGGTCTAAAATTAATCCGGTCACAAACTGCTGAGCACAAACTCTTTCCAGTCTGCTGTTTCACATGATTAAAAAATGATACTGAATGATAAACAACTGGGAAGAAGTGATTCTTCTTTTTAATGTAGGTATCACCTAAATTCCAAATTCAGATGTCTTCTTTAGAACCTTTTATTACTGGTGCCATTCCTTTATTGTTCTCCCAGATCAGTGATTGGCTTGGCTTTTGCCATGCTTGTGCGATGATGGTATATTAAGAGTCCTTTATAGTGATGTTCAACAGGTAGTTTCTGCCCACTTTCAGCTTCTTAGAGTGAGTACCCTAAGCCTAATCGTTTCCACAGTTGATACAGCTTCTACCCAACATGCCCTGTGAGTGCCCCAAGACTATTTATAATGTGCATCATCAGAATGTTTACTTTTTTGCAATGCTGGTATCCTGACCACCCCCACAAAGGAAACTAAAGCAATAAACTGCAGAAAATACCAGAATAACGTAAATCCTGGTTACAGAAATACTGGAGCAGTATCTAAACAGAGTATGTTAAATAAAGTAATAAAATACAGCACAATCATACTCAGTAATGAGCTTTTCAATGGGAGATGTTCCCATCTCAGGATACAGCTGCTAAGTTGTGCTCACTGCAGCAGTGGCAGAAATGGAAAGGCAGACGCTTCCAGAAGAGATCTATTACTAAAGATGCACTGTCAAGTAAGACTGGTAGTCAGGCAGTACTTGAGCATACTGCCATTTAGAGAGTGATATTAACATTAACAAATTCATTCCATAGTTAGCATGATGAATATATCTAGCAGCATTAATTTGAATGCTTGTGCAGCACAAAGGCAAATGACTACGAATGTAGCACTTCCCCAGCAGGCCGATCATTCACTTGCCATCAGTTAGTCTAAAAGCTACAGTTAAACTTCATAAAGAAAAATGATCATAGGAAATAAAACAAGAGAACTCCATCTCTGATTACCTGTCAGATTATTTCAAATCTGCTGGATCAGACAAAAACCAAGGCTCTGACTCTGTGTGGTCATTAAAGACTTGTCTCCTTTCATGAGAGGAAGCTCAACAACAGTACAGTAGATGTATAATCTACTCTATCTACTTCAAATAACCCTTTCAGTTTTAAACTGCATGCTCAGCTTCCCAAATAATTGTAGGCAATTGCTATTTTACCTCTGAAAAGACGTATTTCTGTTTGGACAATTTATGCTGAATTATATGAAAGTTATGACCTTCAGAAGGCAACATTTTGGAAACAGTATAATTAAGTTAAATATGCTTGCAGAGAAATGTGCTAAGAGATGTTGCCCAATTTAAAACTTGGAAAACCAGAGACAAGCGTGGTCTACAGAAGTAAATCAAGTGATGCATTTGGAAAGATTTATTTTGCTTTATTTTCTGATTATGATATGCTGGTTACCTGCCTCTCAGTTCAGGCTCTGTCTTCAAGGTCATCTAAATCTTTATTCAAAGAGTCTGAATTGCTTTAGCAGAAGTGAACAAAAGTCATAGTGAGAAAGAAAATTCTCAACAATTGTCACATTCAAGCTTCAAAACAGAGCCTAGGACTGTCAACTTTTCCAGTTATGTAAGTGCAATTTTGTGATTAACCTTATTGCCTAAATGCCACAGTTTTTAACATGGTGAACTACAAATCAATTAGAAGCATCTTTAAAGATAACTAAAATTCACTAGTGGCATACACAGTTCTGCTGTGAAAAACAGCATGAATGTTTATTGAAAACTATCAGAATGTTCCTTATATGCTGCCAGAATAAATAGTCCTTTTTAGTACCCATATACAGGTCTGGTGAAGCACGACAGTGAAATTGGCTTTTCTACTAGTAAAGAGGAATCGAAGGTACTACCTGTGGAGTAGAAGTACGTATCATTCTCTGTGCACTAGGAATCCTCTACCTCATGATAACTGCTACTATTAAAATGCTTATCTTTTCAGTGGCAGTCAAATACTCCTTCGTATAGACAGTAAAAAATTGACATTTGAAGGAAACGCTACCAAGTTCCAGGCAGAACATGCTAGGAAACTGGAAGGTAGGCAAGTCTGGGCAAAAATAGATACAGGAGGAGGCACGGACAGATCTGTGATCTTTGAAATCTGGATGTGAGCGCTTAAATATTGAAAAATTTCCTTGTCTCAGTTTTCATAATTTTCTGATTTTTCTGATTTTCATATTGTCTTAGCACAGAAAAATATGGAAATCTTTCATTACATTACAGTGTTTACGTAAAAATATATATACACTTTCAGTCTGTTGGGCACCTAACTCACAAAAGAAAGAAAATAATCTAAGCATATATACATGCATTTCAGTGTGTCTTCAGCACCTTAGGAAAAGACGACAAAGTTCATTACAGTCATGGGAGGTTAACAAAATCAGGCTCCTACATTCCAAAAGAAAAATACGGTGACCTAATGAAGTGATCTTCAAGATGACTTAACCTCGAAACTCTGAACTTCAAAGATACATAAGCCTCCTGAATCCCAAGATCTAATCATAGTAGCTATTTAGTGTATTATCTCTGTGCTCTTAAAAATAAAAATCTTATGTTAAGTAGGTCAGTTCCTACTATTCCCTGAATTACAAAGAAACAAGTCAAGTATAATGAGGTATTACAGATTAATCCTATATTCTAAAAAGAAGTCTGAACTGTTTAAAAATTAGATTTACTCATGATAAATAGTAAAACAGTATGCAGCCTTTACTCACAAGAGGGTCCTGGAAGCTATTGAATTTCTAGAAATAAGAGTATGCTGAGTTTACCACACCCCTGTTATCGACAGATTAAAAAAAGCGAGATAAAGGGACATGAATCAGCAGGCTATAGAGAAGCAAACGTAATTTTCTACCAGTTATGCAGGCAGTTATATGAGACTAGTATAAAACAGTGACAATTTCAAGTTGTTGCATAAAGAGAGTAAAAATGCTAGGACAGCATTTTTAGTTGGTAAATTATTTTTTCCTTTAAACAAGGTATTTGTTTAGCAAAGCAAGACAGACTTTTCTCCTATTAGCATGTAAACATACTAAGTCATCTTACAACACAGGATTTGGAAATACTACTGAAGAAACGCACTGTAACTGAACTAATCACAGAGCAAAATTTCAGTGTGAAAAATGAGACAGACTTTTTTTCTTTGAAAAGGCCGCGCATTCAAGTTCCACATACCTGTAAAAATATGTTGATAACACCAACAAAAATCTTTATTATCATGTTTCTATAATCTTTTGTGTGAGGGGGTAAATTGAGGTCCTTCAAGTTACTTTTATAACAGAGATGAGGAATCTTTCCAGTTAAGAAAATAAACCCTCTTAGCACTTAATCCTTCCTCATAGGAAAAATTTGAGCATATAAGCTATTGGACATACCTTAAAGAATACAGTGTTTGCTCATTGTTGCATAAAACCTGGGAAATAATGTCCAGCATTCCGGACCTCACACTGACTATCAGCCAAATAAGTCCTCCATTTCTACCTGGATAAACACTAAAGAACTGTAAAAGGATAACATGAATAATTTTGATATTATGCATAAACCATCTCACCCCATGAGTTTCAGATCTATTTCTGGTTACTTATGTGTGTTTTCTTTCGGACATACAGTTGTCAGGCAAAACTGGCTTTGTCATGAAGGCAGAGTAACGTAGATACTTTTTAACTGGATACTGGAAAATTTTGATACATGAACTTATACATCTATTAATCTCTACATCTTATTATTACGTCTTTTCTTGAAGAATCAAGTTGCCTTAGTATTGTTCTTTGGTTTCTTATTAAAGATGCAAGATAAAATATTTTGCATAAGGAGAAAGATTAAGTCATTACTACCTTGCTAGATAAAAGAGATTCTTGGATTTAAAGCAAAGTGAGTAATTGAGTACAGAGTGATTCATTAATTTAACTCACTATGAAGGAGTTCAGGAATAATCTTAGAAAGCATCTCAGTAGAAAATTACACACTATTCTAGAATTCTCCTCTATCATTACCTCAGAACTGACCCTCTCCAGCCATATCTTGCAAGTTCCTGTAATACTTACATTTCAAAAGCTTGAAATTAAAAATTGAACAATTTTTAGTTAATAATGGTGTTTTTACACCCACTGCAGCTGTTTATTTTCTTGTTTTTCAATAAATGTGCATATATGTCTTGTCTCACAGTGCCATCTAGCGATCACTTAATATCTCTGCTCTCTACAAGAATGTTTACTGAAAACTTTGTTGATATTATTTCTGCAAGGCTAAATTAGATTATTCAGCTTGAAAAGGTAATTGCGGGTTCACATAATTTCAAAGTTACACTGAAACAAAAGGCTCAGTTCTTCTCTGGTCAAGATCCTCTTTCATCCTAGCTCACTCACACTGAGTAAACCTCATTATTGTACCATACAGTATTCAAAGAAAGGAAAAAAAAGGTTAAGATTTAAATAAGCATACCATCTATTAATAATGGCAATGCAACAGATAATATAGTAATTTTAAGATTTCCTTGAAAATTCCTTCGAAAAATTGAGGTTGATAACCGTGTCTGAAATATACATTTATATTATGGTTACTCAACATACTGTACGGTACTTTCCTAATAGCATACGTTATTGTAGTTCTGCTTGGCTTACCTGTAGAATGTTTTTACTTTGTTGTACGGCAAACATCTAACGCATTGCTTGTAGATCTTGTTCTCATCTGCCTGTAGTTCTGAACCACATTTAGCACAACCTGAATAGGTAATCATAGGCAGAGAAGCCAAAACACTATCCAGGGAAGTGCTGGAATGGAAGATGAGTTGACTGTACTGGCCCGTTGAAACTGTAAACTTCAACTCTAAGATATGGGCTTTCAGTTGAATCACTCCTATAGAAAAAACAATTTCAATCAAATCTGCATTCAGTTTTACAGATAGTAACCACAGAAAGTAAAAGAAAAGGAAAAAGTAAGAGTATAGCACAGCTGATTCAAAAACACAGTTATCATCATTAAAGTTTTCTGAATATTAGTTTTTCTTTTGAAGCACATGCTCATGTTTTCAGAGATGATTTCTGCAGTGGAAAACAACTGTGGTAAAATATCAGCTCTACAAATATGTATTGCTTTTTTAAATACTATCGAGATGAATGCCCCTATAGAACACCTAAATAAAAGATAGAGGTTAGATAGGTGCACAAATAGTTTTCATGTCCAGCAGTACCAGAAAACTATTAAAACAATCATTTCATATTAGAAATAAGTTGATCTTGACACACAAGATTTCTAATGAAAGACACCATAGTTAAGAGAATTCTGTGATGGTGCAAAAATGGATATTCTGATTAAAAGAATCAGCAGCAATAGAAGAGGTTTCATTTGCCTTTATGTCACATGAACACAACAAAGATGACTCAGTGTAAGCACACAGAATAAAATTGGAACATTCAAAAATGAATGGAAAATCATTTGATAAGCTTCTATAGATATTACTGCACACAAGCAAAGTAGCAATTTTCACAATATATAAGCCAAATTTATGCATGTTTTCATAGATAAAGCAAAATACTACGTCATTTGGATATCCTGTAGATCAAGTCTCTAATCTGATACGTTGTGTTCACACACTATCAGCAAAATTACTTTCCAGACTTCGTTCTCAAAAAGGTGTACCAATCGGAATGTAATATAATAACCCATGATTAGCTCAGATAAAAAAAGAATTGCTTTTCCTCCATCCTGAGTCAGAAAGATACAACGAAAAGCTTAACTTCAACAACTTAGCTTTCTACTATCTACTTATACATAGATTATTTGAGTTCAATGCTGCAAAAGCAACTTTTATTTCCTCAGCTTCTTAATGTTTACCACCGTAATCCTAATTTTCTAGGTGTGGGGAGGGGAGGTGATTGCTCTTATGCAAAAAGTATTTTTTGTTCTTTTGTAAGAAGTTTTCATGGTTTCATTAATTTTTGAAGACAGAGAAATAACACTTATCTAACTTTATATACCCATAGCAAAAGCAATAGTGTCAGCTCAGTAATCCCTGCATTTACTCCAGCAGTTTCTTCAGGAAGGATATTTTACTTTTGAGATCATGTTTTAGAGAAATTGTATTCCATGAACTCCTTCAGTGGTTAATCACATCATTATTAAAATAGTTGGTACGGAGAACAAAAGGCAGTACTTCTCCATAAATTCCAAAGATGATACCATATGTATGGTACCATATACCACATCCAAATCTCACTTCTGTGCTCACTGAATTAAGGCTGCATTCATGGTTTGGCCAGGGCCTGAATGGCAGCCTACAGAATAAATTCAGGCTCCCAAAACAACTCTTCCTTCCTTTCCTCCCCCCCCACCCCAAATCTGCTTAGCTATGCATTGCACTATATGAACTTTACAGAGTTGCGGATAACAAATTTACCTGAGCATTTTTCCTCCAAATGTGCCGAGAGATTTGTCATTTTCATGAGCGACGTTTTGTTTTTCTGAAACCTTTCTTTAAATTCAATTGCCCTTTTGTCATCATCAAACAAGCACTCACAGGATGACCATGGAGTTGTGTGCAGTTCAAAGTCACCTGAGACGGAACTATGCTGGACAAGAAGGTATTTAAAGTCCCATATGTGATCTACAGAATAAATAAGCAGAGACAGAAAGGTTTAATTTCCAAACAATTGTTTATTCATAGAAAACCGAAACCACCTACAACACCAAGTAATAAATCAGTAAGACATTCTCACATCATTAACTCTGGCAACTTTATTTCAAACCACATGACATGTAGGTTATTTTAGAGGAGTTTACATTAAAAGAAAATAAAGTTTGTAAGGGTAATGATTAAAAAAAAGTCAGCTATAAGGTTGCCTATGAATGACCGCAGGTTATCTAGTATAAAAACTGTGTAGTACCATTGCAATATAGTAAAATGGAAAAGCAGTCTGACAAAAATAAGGCTATGGGAATAAACAGGCCCAGGATCTTACAAATGAGGAGGAGAATCAATAGAACTGGGAGATAGATCAATCTGCCTACTCAGAATGAGCGAGTTAGAGACATTTTAGATTAAAGGTTATGTTTCACTTGCTATCCTTTGTTTTTTCCAAATTTTATTATCTTGAGCCACAGCAGAAAATTCTGCACTTAGATCTTGTAAGCGTACAGAAATGCGCTGGAGATGGCTAAAACACATTAGTGGATTCTCACCTTAGTATGAGAAATTAAAACACTAAAACACAAGAAACTGGTGAAGGAGGAGGCTGCAAGCCTAGGCCTAGAAACTATTTTGGCAAACAGCCTTACCGTTAATGAGAAACTTTGCCACAGACTTCAGTGGCTTAGATCAGACTTTCTGAGACACTTCAGCATTCTTTCTGTGCTTGGGTCCCTCCATTCAGCTCTGTCTTCTAAACCATTTGCTGTTATTACCTCTCCTTCGGCAATCTACAGTCTCCAGTTTTTCTAATCTGTGGGAAAAATGGGTCTGGCAGAATTTGTAATTTTCCTCAATTCTTAAATCATGTTTCTTTTTCTTAAATATTTATTTTATTAATGCCCCTTTTTTCACTATTCCAAACTCTTACAAAACCTTGACCATCTCTTAATTCAAACATGCTAGCTTTTCTCTGATGATGGCTTCAGTTTCCCTGAATGCTGAGATTATCTCAGTATCCCTGCATAAGTATTTCTAGGCCAATATAAGAAAAATTACTATAATACTTTTGCTGTGAGATGCTACTTCACATCCCTCTTTAAATCATGAAGATATTCCTTCAGTATGACAAAGGGAACATCTCTTATATTTGCTTTGTGTGCCTAAAAACTTACTTTGCATTTTCCCCCACCATCTTCAGTGGGTTCAGATTTTTAGCCACTCCAGTCTTTCAAGAATGCTGTTATCCAAAAAAAGTATTTAATGAAATAAGCCTTTCATGTTTGATAGCCTACACTAGATCAGAGTAAAACATATGAACTGAATGCCTCACGCTTATACTGACTTTTAGCGTAAGATGAAAAATAAATTTAACTTGTATTGGAAACAATTGTTATATGCACTGAAACAGTATAGTGTTATGTATTTTATTTAAAGGATGTATACACAATTTAAAAATTACAAACCCCCATACCCTCCTCTACAAGACTATAAGGTATCTAATCTGCTAGTACAAACAGTAAACACATGTCCCTGCTGGTCTTCTGTGACTCCTAGCAAGAACGGACATCACATGCTGTCTTCCTGTAACCCACTCACTACTTAGCTGTGTCATGTGTGCTTATTTAGTATGATATGACTTTATCTTTTTTGGCCATCTTACTGGGAACAAACATTCATGGTTTATCTGAGGTATTTGGACAGTTGAGAAATCACTCGTCTTGAATTTCAGATAGTCTTGTAATGATTAAAGTGCAAGCTGCTAGATGCATAGTACACTAGCAAGAGAGGCACAAGCTTTTGATCAGATATTAACAGTGATAATACTACATAGATCTACCTCTTCTTACACTTCTGCTTTAAGCATTAGGGAACGCTATACCACATTAACTTGAAGATTAACTTTGGTATCTATTTAATATTTTGCAGCTACAACACAGTACTGAAATACTGCAAAAATTCTGTATTTTTTACAACATAGTATTTTTGGCATTCTGAGTTCTAAGATTTATAAGCGTTTGTTTATCTAATGAACCATATACATCTGTCCACATCGATATACGCAAAAATAAGAGTCATAAGAGTAACTTATGTACTGAAGTTAGTGAGGTGGAAAGCAGACAGTGAAAATCAGGAGTGGAGAGAAAACTAGGAATTTATGCAAAAACAGACAACAGTATAAAAGATTCAGAAAACCTGCTAATTTAGTTAACATTCAAGTTTTTTTTTTTTTTTTTAATAGTTATATGACAATTAGGTACCAGTGAGTCTTAGGTCTAAAGAGACTTTTCTAAATATTAGATACCATAAAAATTCCTCAGGGTTCTAAAATGAGTGCATTCAAGTTCTGTTGCTGATGGCACTATTTTAAAAAAAGCAAACTTTTTAAAATTAATATCCAGCACAATGTCCTAGCAAGATGCAGGAATATTTAAAAGCTGAATGGAAAATGTTATCAGCTGGGCATTTTAAAGCAATTAATGGCATCACAGAATTATTAATACAGTAGCCTAAAGGTCCAGAGACTTTACCTTTTCTCTTCTGAAGCTGAGGGCACCAGGCTGCCCCTGCTCCCCACAGCACCATCCTATAATGTTGATCTCTGTTCTGTTCTACTGTTAAAATAACTTTTCTTTGGCTGCCCCCTTTGTAGCTGTACACAGATTCTGGAAAAGTTTGAAATAATGTGATTTATTTTATAGGAAAAAAAATCATATTAACACCAAAATGCCTCTGCACATGAAGATGAAACCATACCACTATATGTCATGATATTAGTATAAGCATGAGTATTTCTTCATGAGAGGATGAAAACATAACTTATTTCTTTACCAACATGAAACTAGTTTGAAGAATGCATAAAACAACATTAATTTACTTTTATCCTACAATAATCTCCCAGGCACCTAATCATTCAGTGACTGGACACCTCCCCAGAAAACAGCAGGTATCTGTGAGCATCTTTGAGAACCTTCAACTCACCTTGACTGGTATCAATGGGAAAAGATTGTACTCAAAATGCCTCAGTAACAGACTAACTCTAAAATTGAAACTAATGTTTCTGTAATTGCTGTGGAATGTACTCAAAAGATAAACATTTCTACAGACATTTTCATATAAAAGAAAGCTGTAGCTGTGTACAAACACCGTAAGAGGACTAGTAGCATATGTAGACTGGAACAATTATAAGATCCCTATGACATACTTCATTCAGGACACTGCTTGAAAGTTTCTGATAAGTTCCATTTTAAGGCTATATTTTAACAAACAAATACAATTCTTGCATAACAGCTCCTGCTTTAAATCTGTGCCAACAGTTTTGAGATCCATATACAATAATAAATCAGAGATTTCTACCTTTAAAATTCCCCATTTACAATTAATAAAGGTGATACTGACAGTGTGGGTAAGATCATTTCAATCTTTTGCAGCACTAAAACATGGTGACACAGTGCAATACGAACAAATCAATGTGAAAAGCATTATGTCAAGCCCTGAGAAAGAGCAGTACTGGAAACAGAGGAGAGTCAGAACAGTTAAGTAAGTGGGGAGAAAAAAGGGAGGGGAATTCCCTTTCCAGGTGGTAACAGTCTAACTGCCCGATGCCCGTCAGAAAAAAAACATAGGTCAACTTGGTGCCTGTTATGCACTATGTCTTGATTCATTCTTGCTCATTTCAGGAAGTTGAGAAGATGCTAGGAAGGAGCTACTTAAGGTCCAATTATGATGAACAGATGGAAGTAAACTATGAATTTTAACATGGAAAATTTTTAAGATAGAAATGGCTTCAGAAAAGGAATCCTGAAATAATTCCATTCACTGTTCTAAGAAAAGGAATAAATCTCCAAAAAAATGAGTACATTAAACGCATGGAATCACAACCAGGATTCCTCAGGAAAGAATTCCTAGTAATAAGTAAAATAGAAAAAGTTCCCTGCAAAAAAAAGAAAAACCTAAAAACAAACTGCACCCACCCACACCCAGGAAACTTAAGTTTCCGAAACAAATTATATTAATGGGGTAGTTTTTTGTTGTGCCTCTATGGAGGAAATATGAATATCACAGTAAGACAGCTTAATAAGTTTCCCATCAGGAGCTTTTCCTGATGTTGAAAATTAAAAAAGACTTGAAAATTAAAAAAGACTCATACAAAAAAATAGAATAGAGTCACACAACTAAGGTTAATTATAAATAAACCTTGTGAGCACGTAAGCATAAAATCAGAAACACTTACATTTAAAATCTGCTTAAATTAGGAGAAGATATAAAATACAAGACAACACAACATTAGAAAATCGGAGCACAGTTCCATTACAAAGTATGAAAAGTCAGTAAATACTAAGCCAGAGCGGATTAAAATAATCAATAGCTTCCTCATTTCATTCTAAAAACTCTACAATTTATAATGCAATTATAAATACTTAGAGGATTTTTTTTTTTAATGTAAGAACATAGGACAGATCAAAAATTACAAATAAACAGTCAGATGCGTTAACATCAACAGGGCCCAATACACTTCAGCTTAAACATTAAGACTCGATCCATATTAGTCTCTGAATCACAGGTAATCATCCCTGAGACCTGGAAGATGATGACTGAAAGGACTGAAGAAAGGCAAACACAAAATACAGGCTTTTTTTATACAAAGAAAAAGGAGAACTGAAGGAATATAGACCAAACAGGTTAATTTCATTTTCCAGAAAGACACTGGCACAAATGAGCAATCAATCTGTAATTGCCAGAAACGTACAGGCAGAGTGACAGGTCGGCATCATATTTAGCCAGTTTATTTTCCTTTAGTGACAGGCAGCTTTTCTGAGGGGTAGTTGGAGAAATAACTTCATCTTAGTAAAGTCTGATTGTCCCACATGACATTTTCATATACCAGTCCCCCTTGCTAACGGTAGTCTGCCTTAAGAATGCACCTCAAGAATTTCAAGAGCCATCAGAAAAACAAACTTATGTTCTTCCACCACAACTGCAACATTCCCCTTTTCTCAGCACTCCTGCTACACACAACTCGCTCCCTACAAGGAGATTTCAGGCCCACATTCCTCTCATCTAACACATGCCGGCTGCTTATTCCACCTCCCACTGTACTTCATTCCAATATGCCTCTTCAATGCCCCACCCTGCTGAAAGTCAGGTCACCACACTATTTTGGAGCTCTGGAGATGCTCAAGTCTCTGACTGATCAGTTAATACGTTAGTAACTGTAGTCTATACCACAAACAGTGGCTGCGCATTCCTTAGTGAAATCTTGTCAACCTCTCAGCAAGCAGGAACGCTGATTTTCAGTGCCTTGTGCCTGCATGCTTAACCCCAAAAACGCGTATGCCATAGATCAGCTGGTGGGCAATAATTTCCTTTCAGCAGCTGATTTTAGTCATTACTTCCTTCCTGCCTCTAACTCTGAGTGGCTTATCACACACAGCTCTTACCCGCAATTCACATCTCAAATGCTGGAGTATCAAGCAGGAAATAGCCAACAACAGGTAAAATTTAAACAGTGACTGTTGCAAGGCAATTCTGAAGTTGTGGAAGTCCAATGCATTAACTTACCTGTTAATATGGCGATGCTGATAATTTTTAAAACTAAGTGAACCAACGTATTTGACTGAAGCTGGTCTAGCTGAACATGCTGAACACTATCCAATCTCTGAACTTCTCTACATGGAAGGTCTCCAAAGTGGGGAAATTCTGACGATATGTAGGCCAATAAACCATGCAGAACACCGACATCCACTATATGATGAACTTATTGGGAAAAAAAAAAATCATCATAGGAACATCTCCATTTTTTGTTAAACTTAGAGCTATAAAAAAAAATCTATCAGTTAGTGCATGCTTACACCAACAAAACCAAAACAGTGTCTCATGATAATTCTAGGCAGCCAAGAAACCACTGAGATGATTAGTACTGGATCCAAAATTAGATTTTATTTTATTTGCCTCCTCTTGATAGCATCCCAACATAAAGTTTAAGAACGCTACTTTAAAATACACTAGAAATAGAAAAGCCTTGTATTGCAACTTTGTAAGAACATAGGAATAGCTATTCTCGACCATTTAGCTCCATGCTGTCTTAAACAGCTGGTAATAATAGATGTCAGGAAGACAGTAAGAACAATGCAAGTTCATGGTAATACTTCCACTCTATTTTCCACGAGCCTCCAACACCTCAGGTAAGTTTAAAGTCTTTGCGCTTAATAGGCCTTGTTGAATTTTTCATCCTTGAACTTACCTATTCATTAAGCCTCTAAAGCTTCTGCAAATACGATGTAATTCTTGCTGTTAAGTCATCTTGTTATAAAGTCTCAAACCTCTTAATGTCAAGTCCTAGGATAACAGCTGTTTCTTAAATTCATCTCAAAAAATTCAGTTTTCAGCATTTTGAAAGGTAACCACCCTACTTTGCCATAAACTTTACGTGCCTATCCATGACAACATCATGTCCACACCTTGTCCACAGGTGTTCTTGTCGTATTCTTCTAGTGTTTTGTACACCTCAACTGATCACATTTACATTTTTATCCTGTACATAAAACATTACCAATCAAATGGAGTACTTTAAATACGCATTTCAGTGTGATATGAGGAATCTCTTTTGCATTCTAGACTTACATTCTTTTGTGTTGAGAGCTGAGCAGTTTCCCAGATTCAGTAACTGACTGGTACATGTAGATTGCAGCAGGATTTCTCCACACCAGAGATTCTCATACATAATGATATCTGCAGCATAAAAAGCAGACTTATCAATCCAAATATATACAGAACATATTGGAATGTGCATACTGTTCTGGCTGCGGAACCAGAAATCTTGAAACTGGTTTCAGATCCGAACTTTAATTTTGAATCTTCTTTCTATTCAAGTTGCTGTTCACTTCCAGAGCCTCATGGTCTACTGGCTCCCTGATTCTTAAATGGCCTTTTTCAATTTTTTGTTCATTACTGAGGGTCTGTTGCTCTCGTTTATTTGCTATCTAGGACTAACATTCATATGCAATGGTCTTGCAGGAAAAAAAATGGGAAATCCTTACTAAAAATGTTTCACATTGTTCAAAAAGTTAGGAAATTTTCTTTGGGACTGGCATAAATTGAAAAAGCGTCCACGTAATTCAGGGAGACTTAATGTGCGCATCAACATCTATTACCATTTCCTAAGGAACGCAGATAAGAAAGCAACATGAAAGAGGAATAGTGACACTCTACTACAACAGTACAGTACTCTAAGGTGATCAATAACGGGAGCTGTATGTCTACTTGAAATCCAAACTACTACTAATCAAGAATTTGCATGACAGGAAAAATAGATTTACATAGAAAATCTGAGACAAATATCTCAGTAAAATGGAATACTGGAGAGCTTCCTTCCTTCCAAAATGCAAAAGACTAAATAGCTTTAAAGAACACTTTTATTAAGTGAAGGGGGAAAAAAATACAGAAGTCAAAAACTGTAGTTACACAAATACTGTCAAAGTCTCTGCAGAAAAAAGATTTGCATTCTGGCTACAAAATAATCTATGGGCATATACCATCCGCATTGCTAGCGGAGCGGCCGCTAGCATACCTATCTCACAGCATCTCATAGCAGCTCTTCCTAATGCTGGCTAAGCAGCACAAGCAGGAGACTGACAAGAAGTTGACAACAAGCATCAAGGGGAGCAATATTAGGGGAAAGAGACACCTTACTGACAGAAAGGAGCAAACTGCTAAATTTAGCTGACTGCAGGTTTCCTGCAGGAAAATGCCAAAATTACAGAAACTCCTACACAATTTCAGGAGTCATCATACATGCAGACTTTAAAAGTTTAACTTTCAAAGTCTTTGACAGTTTAAGAGAGATCACTTTGAAACAAAGTTATTTTAGAATCTAACAACATAATTTTAAAAAAAAATTAACATTTTGTAAGTAGTCTGGTATCATTCTTTTATATAAGATATTAAACAGGCTAATACTTAGTACTGTATAAGCAGAACGGGTGAGGGCATTGGGTAATTATGAAATAGAAATTTTGGGGATACGAAAGGTAAGTTATTTTCAGGTGACATTTCAGATAGTAAGTAATAAAATACTAAGCTTACCCAAAAGCACATTTGATGGATTTTGGAATAAAAAAGTCTAAACAGAGAAGCAAGAAAAAGCCCAACTTATCTTCAATCTCTAAAATACCCAGCATGGCAAAGCAACCCCCTGCCTTTGTTTTTAAAAAACTCTAACACAGATAAATTGGTATCTTAAAATATAACTGCAGTAGTATTCAAACAAGAATAATTTTATACTGTGCAAGTTTTTGCATATCGCAAAATGAAATGGCCAGATCACAGCTACTTTGGTAGTATAAGTTTTGGTCAAATCCAGTCATAAATCAGATGCATTTTAGCTTTCACAGCACTGCGCTTTCTTACATGAGGTGCATTTTTTAATCAGGGAGCATTTTGCTCCTATTAGTAATTAAAGATTATAAAGGATTTGTCAGGAGCAGTCTTCATTATTAACTGACGTTATGAAAAAGGTAAACTGAAGGTACACTTTAACATTCATGCAGTCTATGCCTGTTATCAATTCCCAACATGATCCATCCAGCACTAGAACCTTGAAAGCCCTTCATGGAAGGAGAGTATTTCCCCTCCCGAGACCCAACATAAACATCACAATTTTCTGGTCAATCCACTGGTCCAATAGCAAAGAAATACAAAAGCAAAAAAAAGAAAAATCCGTAAGTCAAATAACTAGCACATCTTCCAGTTTGCGGCAGCACTTGCACCTTCCAGGAACAACTCCCAAAACACTGACAGGTTACAGGCTACCTCTGCCTACCTAGAGTGTTGCTGTAAGGGTCTATACATTGCCATGCCTCAGACCAAAAACTCTACACGAGAGATGATTAGCTTCTACAGAACTGATGTTCCTATAGTAGGATGATTATGAGAATTCAAAGCGATATTGAGCCATGTTTATAGATGCTTAGCAGTAGCTCCAAATTACTGGTTACAAGCTGTTCTACTTCTAACAGGCATTTTAAAAAGGCAAACAACAAAGGAGTTCTCACCTGTAAGTAGTACGACATCCCCAGGAAACACAGTGAGTGACCAAAACGCAGCAGCACGCCACAGCACAACTTTTCTCTCGATTTTGGACTGGTCAGTAACTACAATTGTTGCTATAGGAACTTTAGATGAAGATTTGGGTCTTGTCTTTATCTGTAATTCTTTAATATGACAGGGATGTACTATTGCAACCAAAACATTGTACTTTTGATTTTTGCAGCAGCAATTCTTAAGTAGTGACAGAAGACGCTTTTGAAGTTTCTTGACCTCTGTCATCCTCTCTTGATCCATCCTCATTCCAGGACCAGCTGGAGAAGAATTCAGTTTAGCTCTCTTTGATTTCAGCTGCCTTTTACATGCTGAGTGAAAAATATAAAGAGAGTCTTCAGACGTGCAGACTCTTTTAGAAGAGCTGTTATGAGAACTGCTTACTTGGGAGCACAGTATTCCTGAGCTCAACGGTTCAATAC